CATTTTAGGGATACAGGGATTACAAGTGAGATCACAAATCAGTATGTGAAAAACATACATTGGTTTGGCACAAATAGGTGGACATCTAGAAGGCAAGAGCTTACAGGTTATATGTGTGTTCAAGGATTCTGTAGCTAGCAATTGGCTGAAAGAGTTAGGCTAAAAGACCAAGAATCAGTGAAAAGGAAAGCTTACGATAAAGGTTCTGTTAATTAGACTCAAGTGGTTTATTACTTATATTGAAGATTTACAAGATCTGGCATAGCCTTAGGTCTGTTGGTGAGCCCAGAAAGACATCTCTTAAGAAGTGGAGGGGGCTTAATAAGGCTTGTCTGATCTCCTTTCTCATGGCTAGCAACTCAGTTTTAGGGATTCTCTTGGCCAAGAGGGGGGTCCAGTCAGTCGCTGAGGAGGCAGCCTTAAGCTTTTATTTTAGTTCATAGCTATGTATCGAGTAATTCAGTCTGTTAAAGTTATCTTCAAGAACACTACCTACACTGTTCAAAGCACAAAGCTTACTAAAGATAGGTCAATCACACATGAAACGATTTTTCAGTATCTTCAGTTAGCTAAAAACGCAACACATTTTTAAGGTCATGATATTTTAATTCAGTTCGGTAACAAGACAGAAGCAGGTACTAGATCTCCCTCCAAGCTTCCGAGCGTTCTCTTCCACTAAAATAATGAATTGTATCAAGTGCTTGCTTTAACAAGTAAATAAGCTCTCTTTGACTTTTTTCTCCCACAAAAGCTCAACTTTCAAGTAGGAAAGGAATGGCAGAGACTGGGAACTGAGCTCTAAGTGCTTGCAAAACCGTTTCAATCCTTACCCTCGGAGCCAGAGCTCGGCTTTAGACCCGCGATACTACCCAGAGTTTCCCACTCAAAGCCTGCGCGGCACAAAAAGAACTGTGACACCTCTCCACCCACCGTTTTCCCTTCCCCCCATAGAGTAGCCTCCCTCTAAGGCCAAACCCGCGCCCCCCATGACCTCCAATGGCTTAAAAACAGAGTCTTAAACTGGCCACTTTCCCCACAACTGTTCCATACTCCCTCCCCAAGCAGAAAATAGGGTCTGGGAACAAAAAGAGGGACACCCCTGCCACGTGAGGAAAACCCCTTCACCTGGAACTCGGCGAACTCCTCACAGTTCACACCGCCACTGGGCGCCGCCATATTGGACAAACGCGCGGACCCCGCGGCAAGCCAATCACCGCGGAGCAAAGGTGTCTGCGGCGCCGCCTGACAAAAAAAAGCTGTGGGCAATCCTTAACTTCTTCGTGGTCCCCGTCCACATCGAAGCCTGTCATTCTGGTTTTCACTCTGGAACTGGCCCACATGCATGGATCAAAGAACTTGAAGGGTTCATTTATGCCAATCCTATCTTCTTTCAATAAAGAAACAATTTTCTGGTCACACAAACCCGGCGTTCCAAGAGGAAATCTAGGGAAGTGAGGCTTTTCTAATCCCTTTTACTCCAGTGTCTACCTACCCACTACCTCCAACTGTTGAGCTGTAGGATTTGCTCATTGAGAATTTCGGACCACTGGCCAGGCAGTGGCTCACGCCTGTAGTCCTAATACTCTGGGAGGCCAAGGCCAGTGGATTGCTTGAGCTCAGGAGTTCAGACCAGCCTAAGCAAGGGTGAGACCCCGGCTCTAAAAATAGTTGGGCGTCGTGGAGGGCGCCTGTACTCCCAGCTATTACAGGGGTGGAGGCAAGAGGATCACTTCAGCCGAGAGTTTGAGGTTGCTGTGAGCTAGGCACTCTACTGAGGATAACAGAGTGCGATTCTTGTCTAAATAATAAATGAATAAATAGGAATTCGGGGGAAAGGGACATTTCTGGCAGTGTGGACATGGACGAAGGTGTTTACCGATGGAAATATTTTTTAGAAATACACAATACAAAACAAATGGGAAATATACACGTTTTCTCTAATAAGCCAGAGGGACGCTCCAGAAGCTAACAAGAGATAGGACCACTGGGCACTATGAGACTAGTTAGGTGCTTTTGATAAAGAAATATTCATGGAAAGCGCTGGAGGAGCAGTATACTGAAATACTGGCTGATCTAGTGTATTTCGGGAGCTCATAGTTCACAAGTTTTACAACTTTTCTACTTGAAACGGGTAATCCACCGACCCCCACGCTGTACAGGTACAGCCCCTCAGCTCCGCTCCTGCGTGCTGCCGAAGATGCTGGGCTGGCCCACTGCCCGCGTCCTCCGCGGGGCTCGCACGTCCCGCACGCCCTGCGCGTAACGCAGGCCCGCCCACTCGCCCTGCTCGCTCCGCCCCCAGGTCTCAGTGTCCTTTCTACGCCAGCGCTTGGTGACATTGCGCGTACCTGCGCCACCGCGGGCTCGTGCCTTTCTGTGCTGGTCGGCTGAGTAGGCGGCAATGGGGAGCCTCCGCGGCCTACGCCTGACGGGTGAGACTTAAGGGAGGGAAGGGAGCCTGCCTGGCCGCTAGGGCTGAGGGAATCCTGCGACCTTGCCAGGCCCGGGAGTTGCTCGGTTCCACAGCGTACTCCTCTCAACTTGCTAAGAATCCCACCCTCTTAGGGCAGTAGTGGGTGAGAACAAGGACTGAGCAGACACCGGAGCCTGATCTGGAGTTACCCTCGCACTTGGTTCTCCATCCACCCACGTCCCACCGCCTTAACGGGTCTTTGCTCTCTCTCTTCCCTCCATCCTTTCCCCCAGCCTCTCCTGAGCTCAATCTTGAATGTACCTTCCATTCCTAGAACTCCCTACTGCCCAGTCACTTCCATCCTAACCTCCCCCATCCGTTGCTCTCCTTGAATCTGCCCCTTTCCTCCCTCATCTCAAGAATTTATCCCCAGTCTAAAAATCCTCCAGTCTAGGGTTTCCCACCTATTAAATGTCTAATTAGTCAAGGGATTTACGGTCTTACAGAATAATGGTAACTGTTTTCTTAAAACGGGGGATACATTATTCTTAAACAGTTCTGCAACTGAGTGCTTTGAATTTCTTGGAGGAAAGTGTTATGTTATTGCAGGATCTGCAGTTTGTTTTGGTAGTTGACATTTATGTGTTAGATATTTTGAAATCAGATAATGAGAGCTTAATTCGCCTTCTTGGGGAAACTAGTAGGGCCTTGTCATAATAGGAGTTGAGAAATCAGAATGCTGTCATCTTGACTTTTTTCTTTCCTTGTTCTTCAGAAAGAATTTTTTCTTTTGCATCTTGACTTTTTTCTAGATACCAAGGCAATGCACTCTTTCAGTCACCTTCATAAGATTTGATAAGGTGTAGTCAACGTCATAAGATTTGATAAGGTGTAATGAACTTGAATTAAAAGTTGTTTAATTTAACTTTTAAAAGAAGAATAGCCCCAAGCTTGGTTTTGAAATAATGCTAATATACACTGTAAATGTAAATGAAGTAATGCAAAAAAAAAAAAAATACTGGATGTTAGATAGTTTCACAAACTTGACAGATAACAAAAAAAGTTATCCCTTTCATGGCTTATATGTTCCAATGGAGAATGGACTGGAAAAACGTGTCTCAAACTGAGACAGTATTATTTTCTCCTTTCAAAGCAAATACCTGCTTCAATGAAAAAGAAAAACTTTAATACTATTGATTTCACTGGTTTTGTCAGTTTCATTGACTTAATTCACCCAAAATGCTATTAACTGTTATAAAGCTTTTCAATAAGACAAGTGAAAGAATCATTGTAAAAAAGTTAAAATGGACTATGTTGGAAGAGACTTTGTAAAGCTTTTCAATAAGACAAGTGAAAGAATCACTGTAAAAAAGTTAAAATGGACTGTGTTGAAGAGACTTTGACTTCTGCAACTAACACTGTGTTGTAGGTAATTTATCTTCTCATGTTTAAGAACTTCACTATTAGGTAGGTAACTAAAGTAATTCCTTGAGCAATTTAAGAATAATTTATTTCACTTTAGACAGAAACATTTTAAGAGCAAGCTGTTAAGGGTGTTGTATAAGCAAGTTTCTCCAAATGATCTGTGAATATCTGATGTTTTATGAGCAACTCCCAGACAGTCTGAGGTGTCTTTCACTTACTTTTGGCCATCTTACAGCTAAACGCTTCAATATACATCATTTCATTTGATTGATTTCTCACAGTAGCCCTCTCAGGTAAGTCTTAATCCAGCTCCACTTTTTAAATGAAGAAACACAAGTCAAAGAGTTAAGTGACATATCCAGGATCACTTTGCCAGAAAATGGTAGAGCTGGAAGAGTTGGTACCCTCTAGTTTTGGAATTCATGCTCATTTCTATTGTTCAAATTGCTTATTCAGGATACGTGTGTATGTGAATTTGTTGTGGCTAATTAGGTTTCATTAATGTGAAATTGAAGAGTAGTGAAATGTAAATTTATTTGTGAAATGGAAGTACACATTCTTCTGCAAGTGGTTTTTCAAGAAAGAAGACTGATTTAATCAACAGCTTCAACCAAAGGAATTACATTAATAGATCAAATATAAATATAACCTTGGCATACATAGCTTCCTTATCCAGAATATTATTTAGAATAGGATACTCTTGATGAATGAACTTTTATATAATTAAAACTTAATCCTTTAAATGATGGACCTTTGCTTTTAGTTTCTGTTGGAAATCTTTTCCTATACTCCCTTAGCAAACATAATACAGGCTTTTATAAGCTTGGATCTGTTTATTATTTTGTAGGTAACAGGTCAACATTGTGAACTTGCAATAGTTGGATAACTTCACATTTGAGAGGTCTTATGAACCTCTTAAATTATACTCAAATTTTTGTGATTATATGCCTGTTTCTGAAAGGGCGAATGGTTTATATTTGCTAGTCAGAGTAGTTCATGCTGTTAAAGTTAGAAAGCACTGATATAGATGAGGAATGAAATAGCCACTGATCCTCACTGCTGTGGCTTTCATGAGGATAAAGAAGACTGGATCTTTTTTTTTTTTTTAAACTAAATCCTTACCACCTATCAATGTCCAGCTCATAGTAGATAGGCAATACATATTTCCTGGATGTGGGACACTAGGAAATATTTTAGAACATGCTTGCAGATATTAGGTGAGTTTTCATGTCTCTTTTCTCTTGAAAGTTGAATAAAAGAGATATTGATAAAACTTTCAGGATATTGTATCTTTACACAGGTTAATTATTAGATCAAAGGAATGGAATGCTCTTACAAGAAGGTTTTTCATGTTTTCAGAAAAGTTTCGCTGCCCCAAACTCATGTGGCTTGATGAGATTTTAAAATGAATTTATTATCATTATCTTTAACCAATGCCATAGAGTATGGACTATGAGTTTAACCCACATTCTGGAACATTAGAGTTTAGAGGTAGCTTGGAAATTATGTAATCAAGTCTCCTAGTTTTTACAGATGTGGAAACTTGGACTTGCTGAGGATCACACAGATAGAAAACTAGGATGCAATCAGTGTCCCCTGGCTCTCATTCTAATTTTATTTCCACCTCATTCTGCACCTTCATTATCCTTTTTGTTTGGTTCTTGCTAACTGACCCTAAATAGAACATGGCCATTTTAATTATCCCCATCTTTCACTTTGCTTATCACCATTCTCCAGGTCTTACCTGTTTATTGAGCACAGTAGTGGGTGCCCTCTACCCTGTGAAAGCTCTAAAATAATGGACTGCCCCACTAGTTTATTGCAGTGAGCAAACAAACTAATATAAATACACCTAGAGAACCTATACGAAGTAGTATATATAAAGTTCTAGATTACAGAACACATCATAGGTGCTGCTGTGGTGTCCCAGAGCCAGTTCCTACAGGTTTTATGCATATTTCTCGCCAGTTTTGCAATCGATGAAGTTACATGGGTATTTTGAAATCTGCTATGGTGAAGTTTATTGGCAAGCACTACGAACCAAGGTTTCTGTTCATTAGCCCCTCCCAAGGCCTAGTACACAAGTGGCTTTAAGAATTCAGAGAATCCTTTAGGTTAGGATTATCAACTGGAGGTTGAAACTAAAAGGGTGTGAGAATAACATGAGCACAGGTAGCAGTAATGAGTCTGAGGAAAGGTTGAGGTAGGAAAGATTACATTGAATTTTGATCAGGAGTTGGTGATAGGAGAGAAGGTGTGGTTTTTTGAGGAGTTTGAACCAGATGAATTTGGACCAAAAAAAGCATTTAAGCAGAAGTAATAATAGAAACATTTCTGGAAAATTAACAAGGCAACTGCATACAAGTTGAATTGCTGCCACCTATGAAGATGTTTTAGTAACCGATGTGTAAGGTAATGATGGGAATGAGAAAGAAATATATCTAGGAAGTATCTTGAAGAAATTATTACTATGATTTTGGAGACATTGAGTTAGGATGGTCTTAAAGACAAGATTTGAGTGTTGAGGACTGCAGAATTGTTGCTCCATTGTCAGAATTAAGAAAGTTAGGAAAATAGGTGGCTCCTGTAGCTCAGTAGGTAGGGTGCCGGCCACATACACCCAGGCTGGGAGGTTTGAACCCAGCCTGAGCCAGCTGAACAGCAATGACAACTGCAACAAAAAAGTAGCCAGGTGTGGTGGGCTCCTTGGGAGACTGAGGCAAGTGAATCACTTAAGCCCAAGAGTTTGAGGCTGCTGTGAGCTGTCAGGTCATGGCACTCTACTAAGGGTGACATAGTGAGACTCTTATCTAAAAAATAAGTAAATAAATAAAAAGCTGGGAAAATAATCAGAAATACCATCAAAGATTTGTGTTAGTTTGGCAGAGAATATGGTGCATTATTGCGTTATAGGTGGCACTGAGTTATAGGTGATGATGGGACTTCTCAGATGAAGTCCTAAGGACAAAGGAAGGGTAAGGTTATGGAGATAAAGATATGGGAGCAACTAGTTTGGAGGAGTCCTTCCAGAGACTAGGACAGAATAATGGCAAGGACTAAACCTTGGAGGCCTGACATGGTGTAAGTGGCAAAGAGGATGTTAAAGAAGACAGATCATAGAGATTGGGAATGAAGTGAGAGAATGTAGTGGTATAATGTAGGCAGGGATTGAGTCCTTGTGAAAAGATGAGATCATAGAGTCAAATGGCCACAAAGATGGAAGAGTCAAAGGGACTAATGATGAGGATCTAAAAAATGTATTAATGACCGAGTGTGGTGGCTGACACCTATAATCCAAGCACTCTGGGAGGCTGAGGTGGGGTGGATTGCTTGAGCTCAAGAGTTTCAGACCAGCCTGAGCAGGAGTGAGACCCGCATCTGTACTAAAAATAGAAAAACTAGCCAGGCATTGTGGTGGGCACTTGTAGTCTTAGCTACTTGGAAGGCTGAGGCAAGAGGATCACTTAAACCCAGGAGTTTGAGGTTGCTATGAGCTATGACACCGTGGCATTCTACCCAGGGTGACAAAGTAAGACTGTCTCAGAACAAACAAAAGGCTGGGTGAAGTGGCTCACACCTATAATTCTGACTCTC